CACACACACACACACTCACACACACACTCACTCACACACACATATACACACACACACACTCTCACACACACACACTCACTCACACACGCGCACACACACACACACACACACACACACACTCACACACACACTTGTGGTTTTATAACCCGGCGATCACGACAAGGATTTTACTGTGCTTATGTCTTGACAACATTCAAGAGACAATCACAGCACACATGTAGTAATACTTTGTACTTCTCTTTTTCCGTTTATCTAGCCTTCTTTACCTTTTTTACCTCACAGTGTCGAGGGGAGAAGCAAACTTCTCTTGTTTGTTGTATCGCCTACTGGAATGTAAACCTAGTGCTTAGGCTCTCAGACTCGCAACCATAAGGTCGTGGGTTCGAATCCCGTCAGGGGCCCGACGTTGTATCCTTGGGAAAGGCACTTCACACAAATCCTCCTCACTTCACCCTGATGAGAATGGGTACCCAGCTATAGACAGCGAAAGACTTTGTCAGTTTGTTAGTGTCTGAGCGCTTAATCGGCTGCTTGCACTGTATGCTTCCCGGGAAGCCTAGAATGTTTCAGGGTGTTCTATGGTCTGCTGGGGTAAAAATATTATTATAGGAAGTATTATTATTTTTATTAAGTGTAAGTGTAAGTGTCGGTTCTCCAACATACCATACCACAATATTCCTGAGAAACAATGAAAAATAGACAGTCAGAAACAACAGAGGGGAAAAAAGAAATAGGGCATACCTGTGGCGTCTTCTGTACCACCTTATCTAAAGAGTGAAGGAAATGCCGTCGAAATTGTCAAAGACGAACGTCTATTTTCAAGGATAAAATTAGTCCTCTTAGACAGTTGGATGTCTTACATAGTGTCATTATTCTATTTAAAATACGCAAAAGGGGAAATGGAAAGTGGTCATTTGTACAGGTGTTTGTTTGTCTTTCCAAGTGGCAGTTAGAGCACGTTTGACTGCTTTATTATGGGGCGAGTAAAGTTCGTTTTATTCGATTGCGCAATTCGGAGTGACACGTTTGATTACAAATTATTTTTAAAAAACCAAAATGATTGACATCATCGCTTGAGGTGTGTGTGTGTGTGTATGTGTGTGTGTGTGTGT